CATATCATCTAAATCACGATCTGGACTTTTTTCACTGTTTGAGTGCTCTATACCGAGTCTCCGAGAGTTTCATATAAACTTGCTATGTGATGCCTATTGAATAGTAAGCGAATATCAATCGTGATTGAATCAATAGGCCTCATTTGGCTATTGCAAGGCGAGTTTATATGAAACTCTCGGAGAGTCGGTATAGAGCATAAAAAGTGAAAAAAAAAAGTCTGATTTCTTTTCTCAATTTTTATGCACAACTAAATGGCCTATATCATCTGGTGCGACTGATTGTAAAAATTAGCTATTTCTGTCACCCAAATCGTTGTTCAATGCTATCTAACTCACCCTTACATGTTATTTCTCAATGCATGGCATTGTGTTTACAAACAACGTTCTATTGACACACAACTGCGCAATAAAAATTGCTGATACAATCCATTTGATTGTTTATGAAATTTGAGAATAAGAAGTTTTTTTTCACTTTTTGTGTGTTCTATACCGAGCCTTCGGAAGTGTGAAATATTTATACCGTTAAACTACGTCGCATATCAAAGCGAAACAAAATTCTGTTACTAAAACAAGGCAGAACAGTAGCTAGTTATCAGCACAAAATGAAACTTACACATTTTGTACAATAAAAAGTCAATGTTCTTTATTCCTTTGGTAACGAAATATTGTCTCGCTTTGATATGCAACCGTTTTGAGTCGCGTTTTGATATGCGAGTAAACAATAAGTTGTTTTTATTCTAGAGCGTTCAATTTTATATCGAAATATGCAATATACAATGTTTATGAACCTAACAAAATTAGCAAAACAAATAGAGTTGTTGATTTTCTAGATTTCTGGAATTTTGGAAACGAAGACATCTTTGGTCTTCCGAATTTCAGAATAATTTATTATTGAAAAAAATGATGAGCGTGTATGCCATGTTCAATTTTTTCATTTCAATTTACAGCATCACATGTGATAACATTTAGATCGTTCCAGAGAACCAATCAAATCAAACTGTGCCAAATTTCGAACTGTTCGAAATTTTATCCGTTTCTCATCGTCAATTTTCATGTTGTTTTAGTTTTTTTTTTATTTAACTATTATGAGATGATTTTTTGACTAAAGCAACTATGTACGTTAAATGTGCGTCATTATTAGAGTTTGGCGTCATGTTTGTGTGAAAATATTCCGGATGATTGGCTTCAAAAGCAAAATCAAATCGAACGAATTGAATATGACAAACAAAAAATAGACAGATCAACGGTGTGCAAATACGGGCATGCTCTGAGCTAATTGTTTCATTTCTTCGTCTTTCAAAAATGTTCGAAGAAAATGTATAACTGAATTGTGTAAAACGCGAAAAAAATCAACACGATATTTACCGTATTTTCTCAATTATTAAACGGATGCTTTTGATCGCAAATTGATTATATTTAGATGTTTCAAAATGTAGAATTGCGTGCTCTTTCAGTTATTACATGTACATTTTTCTCATTCCTTCTTTCTCTTGTTTCGTTATCGTTTGCTGCTTAATTTTGTATGTGTACCCGCGTTTCACAAACTTTGTATTTATTTTTTATTTTTTCTCATGTTTTCCACGTGACTGTTTGCATAGATTGAATAAATAGCGTGTGATTTTTTTCTTGTAAAAATAAAACGCTCATGTACCATACGATGCACTGCACTACATTGTATCGTTTAGTTATGATGCGAGTAAGCGCGCGTACCGTCTTTTTTATCAAAATGATTTTCTTGTGCTATGTTGAACATCTGCTTTTTTATATGTGTACTTGTTCTGTGATGCTGATAAAAAAATGAGCAAGAGCACCATAGACGAAATTAATAGACGTACACAGAAAGTGAACACATTGAGATAAAAGAAATATATAACGCAAATAATGCACGGTATTACCGTGACGGTAATGATTTAGAAAATCGGTATAATAAACGTTGTTGTTTTTTCTTCTCACTTGATCTAAATAGAAAGAGAAAGAGATGTTATGCATGTTTACTTAATGTTTTTTTTTAAAAACACACACCATCGACTTCCACCCGCACGTCTCGACTTCGATTTCTGACTCAGATATACTATTGCTGGTGAAATTGCTGTGCACCTATTTCTTTCTTTTGTCTCTCTTTCCCTCCTGCAATTATCTACTCTCTCTCTTTTTCGTCTGTACAGAATTCGATTTCGTTTATTTTCTTCGGCAATATATGAACTGTGTCTGTTTACAGTTCAACATTTACGCGTTCAATGACGACAAATCACATTGGCATTGAACTAGAATGCACTTATTCAACCAAGTGAGTGAATATTCCGCTTTGCTGAATGTATTGCGGCTTTTATATAGCTTTTATTTGCGATGCCGGCAATTTGTTGCAATTACCCCATGCTGTTATTTATCATAAACAAAACAAGCAAATGTATAACAATGTTCAAAACGCGAAATTACTCTTGGAGCGTCGTTGCTATATGGCAAAAGGAATAGACGAACTAATGAAAGAAGGTTAAAGAAACTAAAAATGCATTCAATTTAGTGAATGTGAATCGTTGTGTTGCGTGAAAATTGATTTTGGTTGCATTTGTTTTCTATTCAAAAGAAAGTTACAAAAAAACGGTTCGATTACCAATACAGAAAAATCCAGTGCATGGAACAAACGCATTGAATTGCACCAAACAGTATCAACATTATTGCAGCCGTAACAGTCGTTCGAGAAAAAAAAAACATACAATAGCATTTTCAGTTCGATTTTGAAATTAGTGTATACTCGATCCACGCAGTGTAAACAACAAATTCGATTTATAACTTTTAAAAAAACGAAGAAGAAGAAGACAACGAAGTAGCAGCAGCAAATAAACAAAGTGTTCGTGATTGAAAAGTGCATAACGTCAAACGTATTTTTTAAGGTTTTTTACAGTTGTATTCAAGGTGATTTTTTTACCGAATATTATTCAGCTTTGTGGTTGGGACAATTCAATTTCACATTTTGTAAAGGTTATAAATTTATTTTTAAAAGATATTGTATTATTATTAACTGATAAATATAATAATTCAAATTATCTGATAAATTTCGTTGGAAATCCCAAACACGATTAAAATTTTTTTAATGTAATCTTTGATTTTATGATTGGCAAGTATATGAGTAAGAGAAACGCCGCCAAAACAAAAAGCAAAATAACACGATTTTAAACTGGTGAAGAATGCTCAATTTTAATTACATTTAATAGTGTGCACCATGCAATTTTTGTTGATTTGCGGTCAACAATAGAGTCCATCGAAATGAATAAAATTATTCGGCGACATTATCTTAAAATGTTCATGTTTGTGCGTGGGAAGATAACTGTTGGAGAAATTGTCATCTGTTAGCTAACGATGGAATTTGTGGGTATAATTGATTTAAATGACAATGTTAAGATGTTTTGGCATCGCAATGAATCATTAGTGTGTGCAATGATAACAAGAACAAAATTGTTTGTTCAAATTTGGAATTGAGTGGCCGTTTTCCGATATCGTCAATTAGATTAAATCGATTATTTTGATGATTAGAAATGACACAGTTATATTGAACCTGATTTGACAGAAATTCGATTTCTATTCAAATTATCTGAGGTCAGCATGTTTATGAATTTTTAAGATTATTCATTTGTCGATTATTTTTAATTCAATTGTGTTTCATCACTCGGTCAATTTCAAAGTGGGACACAATTTGCGAATGTTGATAAACACTGAAAGATAGTCTATATCAAATATCAATAAATATTGAATACATTCGATAATTTTTCGTACATACAATCTATTTTCGAAAAATAAAACTCGTTTTTTGTCTGTTTAAGTATTTCTATGTTTCAGACGGAATTGTGATAAATGAAAAAATGGCAACGACGAAAACCCGCTTACTGGAAAGTTTTCTTATGTAATCTTATAGACGTGAACTTGCACTATAAAACTTGTAGAATAATTGCACGACGTTTATTGATAAGTCACTAGCTAATAGAAGCAGCGAAAAGCAAAAGAAAAAAAAGAATACAGTGCGCCACTTTTCAACGAAACGAAATAAAAAGAAGCGAAGCGTACGACGTGTGTTCAATTTTGCGAACACGAAATAATCAATGTTGCGGTTTTTAAAAAAGAAAATAAAATGATAAAACTCTCAGTCTTTTAAGTTTTTGTTTCGGATGTTGTTGTTGTTGCTTTTCTTGTTATTGATTAACTTCTCCATGCGGTGGTGGCTAGAGCAAAAAACTCATTACCGCTTTTTGCGCCATCTTCCTGAATTTACTCTACTGTTCATTTGACCCGTGTGTGTACCAAAAAGTCACACGAACAGTAGTGTATATTCAGGAAATGAGATGGCACAAGAAGTGGTAATGAGTTTTTTGCTCTTGCCGCCACCGTATGACCATCTCAACACGTTTTTCATTTCTGCGTCATTCTTGTTTGTAATTTTAGTTTCGATTTTTGCTGTTGACTCTGTTGGCTCATTAATCGGCTAATGCGCATTGCAGGAGATAAGGAGTTACACTTTGGATTTTTTCTGTCGCTTCATTCATTTTGCATTCTTTTTTCTGTCTGTTTTTAAACAGTACACCCGGATAGAATGACCCACAAGGCGAACATGGGAGATTTCTAAACTGTTTTCTTACGACGAGACGATGAATTTCTATTATTTCTGTAATTTACTATTTTTATTACTATACATTCTTTTGATTGAAATACACTCAGCTCAAATCAACTTGGTTTGTTTATTATAGACACCCCATAGGACATGCTGTTTTCTTATCACCGTTTCTCTAGTGTTTTCTTTCTTTCTCCCTCTCTTTCCCTCTCTGTCTCGTTGCCTTTCAAAAAAATCAGTATTATTTATGGCTTTTGTTTTAAACACCATATATCTTGATTAGATTGTATAGTAAAGAATTTAATTATTCTTTATACAATACTGTCATTTTTATCTCTCTCTCTCTTTCTCTGCAAATTTGATTCATCAATAATTATGATTGAATTGAGAATGAGCATATATAAGCACATTCAAACTACGAATGCCGTGTGCGTTATAGCAAATCGCGCTTTATTTGGAGATATAGCGCTGAGCCGACTGGAATTTTTTTCTACTATATTTCTACATTGCAACGCGGTATGGCGTTTATTTGATGCTCTCCCGCCATATATAATAAATTTCATTCAGTCACGAGCTGGAGCAAATTCATAAAAGTATTTATTTATTTTTTGTTATTTGTTCGTTTATTATTATTTTTTTTGTATAAAATTTCACGAACCCAACCATGAATTAAAATTAAGTTTCATGGATTTAATTAATTTTAAATAAAAGCAGTGTGGTCAATCATAGCATATATACACAATTGTTTTAAGTAAATCATGGAACAAAGTGAATATTACTGCTGCTACATGAATTTTGGATACTAAAAAGATAAATTTAAGCACGATTTATAGATTTGCGATTTTTTCTTTCAAATCGGTTTGCTGCGATATATACATGAACATCATAACAAAATTGACCGTCAATTTGGATGTGATGATAAGCGGATAAGGTCATAAGCGTGTTCAATCCGTTGTTCCATATTTTCACTCTATTGACAAGTAACAACAATCGGATTCTTTGTTGTTTCAACACCGTCAAGAATTCAAAAAGGTGATAATTAACCATTTTACTTATTGCATACCGTAAAAACACAATTTTTTTGCTTAGATTTTTGTTGTCACTTTATTTTCGTCGATTGCTTAATTGAATCGAATGCTGAATTCGAATCAGGTGGTGAAGCGTGTTGCTACTTTTGATTTTCCAAAAATGGAATCACTTACTGACCAGTTCAAACTACATATTTGTACTCGGTCTGGTAAAACATGTTTTTTTTCTTCATTTTTTACATAGTCAACATATTTCATCTCATATCATTCAATATATTAATTTTAATTTTTTGTTGTTGTTGTTGTATATTTTGCACAGATTATAATTGCCAAATGGGAATAATTCTATTTCGTACGACTGGTGAAGTGTTGACTTGGTGGCAGTGTGTTGTTCATGAGTGAATACCGGCAATTGTGTTTTTTTACTCGTGACTCAGATTAGAGACAGAAGGAGAGTGAGCAAAAATGCATTAAAATCGTCACGAGTTCGAATCTCGTTATATTTTTCCAAATTTGAGCATAAATCGTTTGTTTTTTGTTTATATATTTTGCGGTGGGAATTTAATTGCGCCATAATTATTTTAATTGAACTGCATACTACTTTTCGACGTTTTGTGTAAAGTCCAGATCATATTGGTGTTGTTTTCATCGGTTTTCCGTGTTTAAGTGCTTAAGATTACAATCATAAATTTTGTTTAGTGTAAAATTGTGTTTAAATGAAAAGAAGCGCCCACAGACTTGATTTTTGTTGTTGTTATAAATCAGTTGAAAAGCATTGTGCATGAAAGAGAGATAGAGAAAGTTGTGAAGAACTTAAATTTGTATAAGAAAACGTGAGTGGAATCATCCATAATGCAGGATAAAGAGTTGTTTAACGGTGTTACTGGAAGATATACGGATTGCATGGACGAGAATGGTATTGTGAAGAAGAATGGCGTTGACACGGAGAATGCATCAAAAAGCGATTCACTGCGGCCACGTAAGCTAACCTTTTTCCATCATTTTTTTTTCATTTAACAAAGGGAATAAAATTAAGTACATGTTGAAACAACAATTTTTTAGCTGGTTTTGGCATTCGACATTTGCAGATATTATTATTGTTCAGTGGACTTTTCATGTCATATGCATTGCGTGTTAATATATCAGTTGGAATTGTTGCAATGGTAGATAAATCATCACCGAATGTGAGTGTTTTTTTGTTTGTGTAAATCCAGCTATAGTAGTATTTGCATAAGCCTTTGAGAAATTGAATGAAAATAGCTCAGATGCATTTTACATAATCATCTCTTAATAATAATAATAATAGAGATAATTTATTGATTAAACATAGACATATAACTGGGACAAAAAACAACAAGGGCTGATATTGAGTAGCTTTTTCTGGGGCTATCTTCTGGCACAAATACCTCTCTCTGAGCTTGCAAAACGCTTTGGTGGAAAACTATTGTTAACCATTGCATCAATTGTGTGCGCCGTTTTGACCGTATTGACACCTTGGATGGCATCAATCGATTGGAAAATGATGTTACTCTCGCGTGCACTTCAAGGTCTATTTCAAGGTGCTTACTATCCATGCGTGCATACATTACTTTCCAAGTGGGTGCATCCAATGGAACGTGGCACTCTCACAACAATTACATATTCAGGCACCCAAGCGGGTAGTGTTGTAATGCTCGCTGTAAGCGGTTTATTTGCATCGTCAACAATGGGATGGCCGAGCATATTCTACTTTAGCGGCGGTGGTACACTTATTTGGACAGTATTTTGGGTGTTTTTTGGTTCAAGTTCGCCGGCTGAATGCACACGAATTTCCATCGATGAAAAGAAATTCATTGAATCAATGCCCGGCTCCAGTCATTGTCAATTAAAAACACCATGGTCAAGCATATTACGATCGGTACCAGTCATTGCACTCATTATTGTTCATGCGACTCAATGTTGGGGATTTTGGTCCTTGTTAACCGAAACGCCATCATATTTGGTGCAAATTTTCAAATTCGACATAAAAACGGTATAATATTTTTTGTTTAAAATCAATTTCATTCGTGATTGATTAGTTAAATATATTGATTTTTTTTTCTTCTCTTTGCTTCAAATACAGAATTCACTATTATCTGCTCTACCATATTTGGCGATGTGGCTCGTTAGCTTAGCGGTTTGTCCATTATCCGATTATCTCATCAATCATGGACACATTGGAATTACAAATGGTCGCAAATTATTTAATTCACTCGGACATTGGATTCCAGCATTGTCGCTTATCATTTTACCCTTTTTAAAAGATCCAACACATGCCATTGTCATGCTAACTATTGCCATCGGAATGAATGGTTTCACGTATTGTGGATATATTTGTAATCACATGGATTTATCGCCAAATTTTGCCGGCGGTTTAATGGGATTGACAAATACTTTGGCAAATATTATGAGCATTTTGGGTCCACTTGCAGTTGGATATATCCTCACCGACGACAATGATATCGATGTACGTGGTAGCATTATAATAGAACGAAAAGAAATAAGAGATAAATCTGATCTGTTTTTTTAATAAATTTATCGTCAAAAAATGTAGTCGTCGGCATTTGCCATTTCATGGACATTTATGGCATTTATGGTTCTTTTTTCTCATTGCCTTTCATCTTTAGGTAAAAATGAGCGAATGGAAAAGCATCTTTTTTATTGCGGCAGCATTCTTTTTCTTGGGTAATTTAATATTTGTGATATTTGGAAAAGCGTCAATTCAACCATGGAACGATGAGATTGAACAACAACAAAAACTGCCTCAACAACAAGTACAAACGACCGCAGTCCACCAAGATGACGAAAGACTTGGTAAGAGTCCTTTTTTGAAACTTGATACACCGCCAACTATCAAAAAACGAACACTCAATTTCTTTTTTTTTACGAACAATTAACTGTTTATTTCGTTTATTTTATACAGGTTCCCATATAAATATCATCAGAGTTAATAGCTGCGACAAATGAGCCTATAAGTGAATTTGTAACGAAACCAAAAAAAATATTTATAAGTAATTTGTAGTCTCTTAGATATTTCAAATATAATAGAAATGTCAAGTTTTATCACAAATCGTGACATATTCGAATAATAACAATTAAAATGTCTTTATTCCCTTCAACTAAGTTCTAATGACATGGACTTGTTGCGGAAATTGAAAAGTTTAGTAGCTTAGTGGCGCTATGTCGTCGTTTATTTGATAGGCAAGTAATTGGTTCAGTTTGAATGATCTCACAAATGTCGTGTCAACAATTTTATATTGCGGCCTGCGCACGTGTAATATAAAATCAATGGCAATTCGAGCGTTGGGTGTAACACTTGTGTGAAATATTTACCGATATGACAGGTAATTGAACATTTTTTTTACCACAATAAAACACTTAAATAAGAAAATTGACAAGCGATATGGGTATACTGTGCATAATTTTTTTAATCGTTTGTGTGCATTGTCATAACATTTGAATGATAAGAGCCATTTTATCGGTTCATGTTTTGTTTGGGTTGATGCACGAACCATTCAGATTTGATCAAATCGGATCTTTTTCCATGTGTAAAATGCCAAGAGTGACAATAATTCATTTTATTATCGGCTATGTGATTTGCGTACGTATTTAATTATTTTGAAAATAAATTCACAAATGGATTGTAATGTGGTGTGATGTAATCAAACCAAATGTATTCGAATGCAATAATATTTAGTTAGTAGTTGTGCGATGCCAAATTAGTTTCAATCGATATTTATAAACCACTTACGGTTGCCGTAATATACAGGGTGGGCCAGTGAAACTGATATTTTTTTTCGTAACTACGTAGCCCACAACTACAATACTTTCCAATCACTCTTTTTTTTACCGTTATGTTTATTCATGCTTTGGCTATGCACTGTGATGATGCACATTATTGCGCAGTTCTTGTTTACTCGTTTTGAATTTGCACAAAAAAGGTTTGCGACAAGTTGATATTTTTCGGAAGCTTCAGATCGATAATATCAACTTGAAATTTATTCAGCGCACTATAAAACGATACAACTTGTATCATAAGGAACGTCGAACAGTCGAGAAAAAGTTCGTTGGAACATCAAAAGAAGCGCTAGAATCTTGGCTGGTGAGCACAATATCAGTCGCACTTCAATGCGATGAGTGTTAAAAGAAGATTTGGGAGTGAAACCATTAAAAAAATCCCGAAAACATAGTCTGACAATCAAAAATAAGCAAGACAGAAAGTGAAAATGCAAAGATCTTGTACGCCGGCACGCAACCTCAAATATTGTTTTTTCAGACGAGAAGTTGTTCCTTTTGCAGCCAAGTCTCAATGCGCAAAATGATCGTTTTTATGCAGCGACAATTGAGGACATTCCTAAAGATGAGTTAGTCGTTGAACGATTTCAATATGTGTCGAGTGTCTTGGTTTGGGGCGCCGTTTCGACCGGCCACAAATTTCCCCTTGTTTTCGTTGAAAAAGGCGTTAAAATTAACGCAGCTGTGTATGAAGAAGAAATATTGCGCAATAGCTTGTTGCCACATGCCTAAACTGTGTTTGGTGATGAACCATGGGTGTTTCAGCAAGTTGGCGCACCGGCCCATCGAGCAAACCAAGTGCAACAATGGTTAAGAGAAAATGTAACTTATTTTATTGATAAAGATGAGTGGCCCCCATGGTCTCCAGACCTAATTCCATTGGATTATTTTGTGTGAGGCTACATTCAATCGAAGCTAAATGATCCGAAGATTAAAAAAATCACAACATTGGATTCATTCAAAAACAAAATCTTCAAAATTTGGAACGATATTCCCATCGAAATGGTGCGTACCGCGTGTAAATCGTTTTTACGACGTTTGCGTTTGTGGGCCCGTTTAAGCATAAATAAAAATATCAGTTTCACTGGCCCACCCTGTACAATTGAACATTTGTTGCAAGAGTCGATAAACCAAACTTGGCATAAGCTGTTACTTGATAAGTTTATTAAACAATTCATATAATACTTGATGAATTTCGTGGAGATTCTCGTGATTTTGCTCTCGCTTGGTGTTATTCAAATAAACATTTTAATATGTAAATAAACATACGGAGGCCGTTGGCTGTATTGTTCAATCCTCTTTTACATCATTGAGAAATATACATACATATGCCGTGTATATATATATATGCCGAAATGGATTTATCATTAACATTTCATGGAAATCACTATTGATGTGATGTGTGTATATAAGATTTCAATATGCGATTGAAATAGTTTCAGCAATGATAAATACAATAGAACTTCAATATTTCTCCACAAACTAACTTTCAATAGCATACCTTGCTAAATGTGTGTATACCCATTTCAAAACATTGGTGTAATTAATTCCAATGATAATAAACGCCATTTAGAAACAAAGCTCAGACAAAACTTGGGCTCATTTGATATGCCACAATCGAATATCCGGACTTCGTTATCCACGGCATTTTACCATCAACCATATTTCCACTCTAAAGTCTAAACATCTGTATCTTCCACAATTTTCTCATTTCATTCCGTTTATATCGATGGTTTTACATCTATTTGATACCATTCGCCAATTTGAACTAGTTTTTGTTAATATCCTATGACTATAATGCAATAATCTATGGCCTATATACCAAAGTGTTGCCGAACACAAAATCGATACACTTACACTCGCTCTCCATCTTCCCTCATACAGCGAGTGTACAATTTTACTAACTTAAGTAAGTAAAAAATCACCTAAAATCGCTGTTAACAACACATCGTTAAGCGAAATGAGCAAAAAAACGTGTGGGTATACTTTTTGTTCACTTTCTTTCTCTCCGCGTTTCACCTCTATTTATGATAAAGTTTATGAGACTCATTGACATCGTGCCGCTTTAAAGTGTGCTTTCGACGTGTACTTGAATCTATTTGTGATTTATGCTCCAAATAATAATATTTTCGAAACTTTTTTTGCTTAAAAAAAAACCAACTCGAGTGAAAAAAAAACAGAAATGGCGATGAAAATGAAATGCTTTAACACATATTTTGGTATATCACCGAGGGAAAATGTGACCCTGTCACTAAGTTTATCAACCGTGGAAGGTAAAATATTCGCTTTGGTCAAAATACATGTATGTGTTCAAAAATATCGGTAAATGTGATCAAGTCCTTGGTTCCTTGAAAATACATCATTTTTCTTTTCCGCACACACCTAGTGTGAAAGGGGAAAGTATTGCAATGGGTCAAAATTTACGAAACCTCAAAAACCCGAATCAGGCCGTTTTGAGCATGGTTGGTGTGGGTCTGTTTCACGTCGTACGTCGTACGTTGTCCGCCGTACGCAAAATTTATCCATCGATTATCTCAACCCCCAGAAAAGTTATTTAAAATCTGACTGTACAGGATGATTGGGGGTCCCGAGGAATAGAAATCATTAGATTTTGAGCGATTTTGGTCGATGGAAAAAATTGTCATGCCTGGAGTGATACCTATGAAAAAGAGTCCAATTTTCGTCCAAAAGTCATACTTAATGTAGACTTAAACACTCAAAAATATGTATTGGGGGGTTTTTTGGCACGAGAAAACCGAATCCGAGGTTAACTTTGAGATACAATCACTTTTTGATACAGTTTTCTTGAAAAAATCACCAAAAAATTGCATTTTTGTATGGGAGCCATGCCGTCACCTTAATGACGTGAAACTTTGCACAGACTATTTTTTGCACAAAAAAATAACATTCTGAAAGTTTGATAAGATTTTAATCAAAATTAGGAGTACCTCCCATACAAAATTTTCAATTTTTGGTTCAAAAAAGAATCTTGTATGGGAGGTACTCATAATTTTCGTTGAAATTTCTCCAAACTTTTCGAATGGTTTTTTTTGTGAAAAAAATAACCTGTGCAAAGTTTCACGTGCTTACGATACCATACAGGTATGATTCCCATACAAAAATCCATTTTGTTTTACTTTTGTATGAAAAGTGTTTCAAAAATAATGTTTATGGCAAAATTAACGTCAGACATATTTTTTATAGTGTTTTATAGAAAATAGAATTCTTTCAAATGTCGTACAAATGGGTTCATCATGAAGTGTGAAAAATCTTTTCCGAGTATTTCTGCTATTAAATAAAAGAATATTTCGATGCCAAAGTTGAAACATATTTTTTGGTCTCGAACTTTACGCCGCTTGAAAGGCTTGAAAAATCGAACAAATATTATTTTGAAATAGCTTAATAGAATACGCATCTACCACCGTGCGGAAAAGTTCGTCTTACTCCTGTAAGACTCTTTATTTCTAAATGATTTTACATATTTTCATTTCTGAGAAGAAGAAAAAAACTCAATTTATTTTACATATTTCTTTTTTGCTCTGACGCCAAGATGCTATTTATTCTCTCGCTAAGCATATTTTATTAAATGTAGAATGCACAGCAACAATATGTTCGTGGGAAATACTTAAGAAATTATCTGGCATTAGAGCAAATGTGCTCTTAGGGTAACATGGCTCAATAATGTATTTAACAAAAGGAAGACAAGGCGGGAAACGACTACGACGATGACTACCGAAGTAAATCACGAGAGAATATTTTCTCTATTTGCCAACACGATTTTCTTCAATTTTATTTTCATTCTATTTCCTTCTCGTTCTCTTTTCTTGCATTTACCGATGATTTTTTTTTTTATCACCGGAAAACATTCAATTTTTATGCAATCAATAATCAACATAGAAGAGCCGAAGTACTATTTTCCTTCTCTCTCTCTTTGTCTCTTTCTCTTGTTCAATCCAATGGAAAATGGACTACATGTATATGATATGCAATGTAACCTACATCTATGGTTGCAAAACGGCGCGCACCGAGCAAGAAGAAGAAGAAGAAGAAGAAGAAAGTGCATACACACCAACTCCTTCGACTCGAAAGGAAATTGCCGGATAAGAATCCATGTAACTATTTAAACATCGTATGTTTCGAAGTGACTTGAAATGCGTTTAGTAGAGTGTGCACAAGGCATAAATGAAACCGTGCAAAATAAAGAGAAGAAGAGGCAATAGGCAAAAAAGCGCCAACACATAGCGTTTCATACAAAATCGTACAAAAGCAAGAGAAGTGGGTATACACATGCACTTAATGCATAAAATAAATACGATAAAGAATTTAACGCTATGCTTTCGGATATAAATTGTTTTGAAAACAGGAAGAATAACGGAAATTCCTTTTACAGAGAATTTTGCGGTTTATATTCGTTTCAGTTATATCTTTATGAAATACATGTTTTTTTTTGTTCTGGCGCTACGTTCAGTTTCGTTTACTCTTACTTTTCTATTTGTTCTTTTTGGATCTAATTTAGTTGAGAGTGAATTTTCTTTGTATATTTTGTGATTATGTGTAAGTACTCAACTTCATAGAGTTGTTCATTTGTCGTTATTATTACGCGGCTTGTTGCTGCCCCAAACACCAATAGTAATTTCCGGTGTGAGAATGGAATGGAATGAAAAAAGCAAATACTGTTGCCGCACACTACATTCGTTTGCACCCGCGTCCACTAAGATATTTATCTATGGTCTCGCGCCAAAAAAAAAACTATCCAATTGAGGGCAGCACGCCAAGTTAAATGCGATTCTTTAATAAATCTTAAGTTAGATTTTTCAATTTCATGCATGACTGTTATGCTTTCTCTCTCTCTTTATTCGTTCCTCTCAGTTCCATTCAGGCCATACGTTGTTGCACACTTCACTTTTTACTTATTCCACTTTATTCGTTTATATTAAATATTTCCCAGCATCTACCGTATTCATATCAACACAAATATTATGTATGTTTCGTCGTCGTATTTTTGTCATGTGTCAGAAAAAAGATTGCATATTTCTTAAATTGCTCAAAAATCATTCGACATAGATTGAATGATGAAACATTTTTTTTCTTATCGTCTTAACTGTTCAGCAATGGTGCAGTCGAGTGAGTTTAGAAGTGGTTCAGGTTTTATTTTCCCTATTTATTCATCTTTCCATTGCTGTTGAATACTTTATTCAAATAAAATTCCACCAAGTAGTATGTTACAATGCGAATTATTTAACAGACTGCACTATCCTAACTACACCCAATTCATTGAACGCCAAATTCGTAGTTGACTCTTTTTCCACTATCAGTCCACCAACTGCAGAGATGAAATTTTTTTGAGAAAAGAATTTAATAAAAAAGTTTCACTCTAAATACGACATCATTTTATTCCCGGTTTTTTTCTTTCTCGTAAAAAACGTGTAATATTGTACGCACATGTTACTATCGAACGAAACGTGCTACAAGTTGTATAGCTTAGTAAGTGGTTAGATTTCTCGAGTTCATTCAATTTATTTCGATTGAATAAGACAACCAGCACCAAAGCGTTGAAAACCCTCCCAAAATTTTAAATAAGTATAATAAGAACAACAGCAACAAGACAAGAAATGTGGGAGTTATTGCATTTGGATGCCAATTTCAAAGACATCTAACCTGTTTGCATAACACAGTTTCGGAACTAACAAAATATAGATAGAAACCATACACGGGCAAGGAAGAAATTTGAGGGGGTCCATCCGAAAAAAAATTCCCTATCTCGCACAAAATTGAAGAGCAAAAAGAGCCTTCCCTTTCTTTTTGGAAAAACCCTAGCAAATTGAAGGAATATTCGCTTGCCGCCGAGGGGAGTGAAGTTCGGACGATTTAAGGGGGTCTTCCAAGCCTACAATCCTGTGCCCATGTATGATACAAACTTCAAATGGAGATAACAACGAAATTCATGGTGCTTAGTGTTAGTGTGCACAAGACAAATGATGGTAACTTTTAAAATAAATAGATGGAAAATTTAATTTAACGATTTTAAATTCTGTGCAGACAAGTGGACAGCGTCAATGTAATTTTTCGTGATGAGCAAACGCCCAATCACTATCATAAACTACAAGCGGACATAGTAATCTGCCACAACAATGAAATCCCTACTACCGTGCTAGATGGTGTCGACACGAGTGGACGGATTTTTAAATTTATTTGAACGACGCCATGTTATTATACTCCATTACAACGTACATGTAACAGAAGAAACACACAGTCCATGTTTTTTTTCAAAATACCGTCACCAATGTCGACACCATTTGACATCAAAATTTTGACAGTAAAAATATGTGTTATTGTTGTTGTCGTTTCACTGCTGTGTAATCTGCAATCCAATTTGTATTATTTGGTTAGTAGTCAGAGAAATTGAACAGAGTGAAACACGGAATGGTAAAATGCCATTTTACCTGGCCCAAAATAGTTTCAGTGTAAAATCATTGTCAAATTTATCCGAGTTTGTAAAAAAAATGTAATTTTTTCGGGGAATAAATTCATATCTGATCTCAAATGAGGTCAATAGCCATAAATTTATAATTTATTTGTTCAAAGGAATGCCATTGATGCTATTCGTAGCTCATAATACCAACGTAACAATCCTTGATTTTTTCATTTTTCGACAAAATGGTAAATGATTAAATTTCTATGTAAACTATTGCTTCCATGCTTTCTTTAAATTTATTTCGACGAGCTCACAAAGGCTGATCGAATCAAAGCCAGGAATTTTAATAATGAATGTCACTCACCTGTACGGTTTTTTTGCGTCCTTTTATGCAATCTGGATCGTTGGATATGTCCTCATCGATGGCATTTCGTAGTGTTGTAATTAGAATGCTCTTGAATTCGGTCAAATATTCGTCATGGCTCACACACTCTGGATCAATATCTACTGGTTCACCATTCACGCTGTGTGTGTTTTTTTACCGTTGAAAATACCAAGATATGCAATATCGCAAACAAAATCAATAAAAACCATATGTGCGCACCACATTAAGCGGTCAAATGTTCAGTGTTTGGTCATAGGTTTCAATATAAAATTGCATCGTATAGTTTTCATAGTATCCAAAAGCAGCAGAGAAAAAAAACAGTAAAACAATAAAGGAAAATGAAAATCGTGTTGCAGTCAAAAGCAAACAAAAAAGTGTCATTTTTTCTTTAAGGCCCTTAACAATTTATGCGTATAATTTATTTGGGAAAAATATTTGAATTGTGTGTACCAAGCGAATCCAAAAGCCATATGTATTCTCGAATCGCTTACAAATGATAGCGAGCACGTATGAATGTCATTTGTTTTCATAGTTGCTGGTGAATGAAAATCTGCTATAAGTAAATATTGAAATGATATTTGGCATCATCATATACCCTTTCTCTCTAGAGTACGCATTTTCTTTCGTGTTTTTGCTTCACATTTTGTTTATCGCGTGTAACACGTTTGGCAAAAATTCACACGAGAAAAATGCCAGTTAGATACATTCAAATGTGAAACTGGCAACGCAAAGCAGGTTAAACAAAAGCGATCATTTCAGACGTGTTTCTAAGCACATAAAAAATATAAGCGCCTCACAAAAGTCCATTTTCACTGAATTATGACATGCCACAAAGATTACCCGGAGAAAATAGACAACATGAAGGAAGCTGAAAATAGAATTACGTGGTCGTTTGCTGTGTTGAAGATACAAAAAGTACGCGTGCAAACAATGAAAGTATTAAGGCGTAAAATCTTCCACAAGCATAAAAAATATGGATTTGGTTCCATGTAGCCTACATGATGTAGGTATGAAAGTATGCATATACCGACGTACACACACCAAAAAAATTAAGTGCAAAAAATAGAAAATGCTAATTTGCATTATGAGAATAGCGGAGACGATGACGAAAAAAGAATACAAATACAATAAAAAAGGTTGGAGAATATATCTTGTGCGTGTTTGCGTGGTTCATTGTTGGTGTGCAACTGCATCGCAGATTAAATTTTCGACGAAATGATTTTTTATGTCCTGTTCACGCTCTGCTCGCACTCCATTTAAAGCAATGTATTGGGTTTCGAACACGCAGATATGCTGCCACCTGGTATCTCAAAGTTAAGCTGCTATAACGCACATATGCTTCTTGTAAATGAAGAAGAAGAGGAAAGCAATGTCTTTACATAGGGTTGAACTTATAAATGTCAGAGAGCAGCACAACTGCAGTGTTCAAAGTGCGATTGCCCTTCGGTCATGTTACCATCACTGGTAACTGGTGATGCTGTTGACCATGGAAATCATTTAAAAGTTACGGTCGCAGGCAAATGACATTGTTACTAATTGATTTAAATACGAAAATGGATATGAATTCAGAGAGAGATAGAAGAAGAGAGATAAACCGAGAGAATGCCATTAGATGAGGATTCGAATTCAGTGGAGATACATCGCATTATCGCAAAACACCGACATCAAATTACATGTACGCACACAGACACATATACACACATAGAATTTCATAATTGGTGTGTGCATTAGACACATTTGGCTTGGTGAATTGCACTTGATTCCTTCTTCTTCTTCTTCTTCTTCTTCATATTAAATTTAGATTAATCGCTTGATAAGGCCAATGAAATGAACGTGAGAGAGATTAAGAGAGAGAAAGTGAGAGAGACGTAAACAAATATTTGGCATTTTCAATGACGCACTCATTCACTTATTGGCACGATACAGAAGTGTGTGCTGATGTACGTCTATTTACGGTTGTATGTTTTGTACCTACCCAAAAACACATTTCTCACTACCAACATTTATGCACACTCACCATTGATATCAATTAGTTTTTAGGGTGTGATTCATAAGACGTCTTGAAATCATCGAATTTACGATTATTGGAGAGTAAAAAAAGTATAAATGAAGGGATGGCATAGTGGTGGTAATGGGGCGCGCAAAATAATATCGATGCTTGCGTCAAGTGGAAACAATTTTCACAGAGTAAGAGAGAGAAAGAGACAAACGAATTGATGCCATTTTAAGCTGATTAGAGAACACAATCAGCAACTATTTCAATTATTTTGGCACAAACGAACCATGTCAAGATCGGTTTATTGGATTTGGATAGCTTGAATGTGTAGGGCCATCCAATGGTACATATTCACTTGAGGATTGCACAGTAAGTTTTAATAGTCATGCCCGTGAAAATTGCAACTATTTGAAAGTTTAACTTCTTCATTATATTCTTTTTTTTCTTCACTTTCTCTCGCCCTCTACATTTGATATCGATTTTATTCAATTAAATGGCTGGTTTCAACTTTAAAAATTGCTTTTTAAATATGATTCCATACAGAATGGATGAAACTTCGAATTTCTTTCTTTTTACCGATTAAAATGAATTTTTTTTCATTGAATATTACTTGATGAGCAGAAAATCTGCAAGGAATCAAAATCCGAATGTATTAAATGTAACTTAATTTTCATTTAATATGGTCAATTGAGTTTTACCAAATTTGGAATCAAGCGAATCGTGTAATATGTTCGGCATTTGGATGATAGAATCAACTCGTGATTATCAAATGTTTACAACACATGTGATCTGGCATCTGGTTTGATGCTATTTACTACGCACTTTACTATATCACAAAGTAATGAAGAAACTTTCTCTTAAGTGCTTTCTACACTTGTTACACTTGTAAAATGTGACAAGACTCACTTTAATGTGACAAGATGTCCGACAGGCACATGTTCGGCAAGCGAACTTTTTATCTTTCTGATTTTATCACGTGATGCACGAGCCGCTACAACTTTAGTACTTTCAGTAATATTCGGCGATGATGATGATAATGATGTCCACTCCCGAAATACAGCCAGTATTCGCTTGTTTGGTAGTGCTATAAACCATTGAAAAAGAAAAACAGAAAAATAGGATAATTAAAATTTACTTAAATACTGTGATTGATTTTGAATAGAAATAGTGTCGGCTCACGCATATTACTGGGCCGAAAATGTGTGTCTGAACATCGGGTTCAGTAACACATAGTCAACAGAAAAAAAAGAGATAGCTGAGTAGACATGTTATGAATAAAGTAAAAGAAAACAAAGACACCCACTTTTCACATTGTTAAAACACATTTATTTGCGGCGGGGTCGGTGTATGTATGGGTGCGTACGTATGTCTTTCCATCTTTGAAGTAAAGTTTAACGGAATGAATTCAACTTAAGCAATGTTAAGAATAAAATACATATATTTTCGCCAATCAAGCGATCAATCTGTGTTAAAAAGTAATTGAGTGACATTTTCTAAAGAGCAAAGTTTCGCTTTTATTGTATCTATAATACACGTCCGTTCCAAAAAAATCGGCCCATTCCACTCGACTGGATAAATTCACATTTTCGACACAATGTTTTCGCTTATATAGCCATAGCGGTCCCACACATGTATGTGTATACGTGGATTCGAATTATCGGTAAATATTGCATGTTGAAGACAAAATACCCAAAAGAAGGACAAAAAAACAACACTGTAAGCGTCCAGCATTGGATTATTTCCATCAATAAATGTGGCTCTACAGTAAACCACTGGCAAATCGAAGTACTCAACAAGTACTAAAGATGGGTCATCCCAAATCCAATACAAATTTCGAACATTCATTCGGCCAATTTCGATTGAATGTATCTAAACTGTTCACATTTGTATGGCCCGTAATCAAGTATATATATACACAATAGAATGTTGAGTGGTTACTGGTAAATATTCGATGAAAGCTTTGCACAAAAAAAAAAGAATTTATTTGAAATGAGATATTGGTTTTGTGATTCTGAATGAAATAAACGAGTTATATTGATTGAATTCGTTGATTGTCACACGTCAACCCCCTGCTGCCTCATATCAAAATGAACTCTGTCATTTATTCGATATATTCTATATCAGTCGTCACGTTTTTTGTGCCTGTGCACATTTAGTTTGTAAATTGTTGACAATTACATTACATTGCCCGAAAGTTAGTGGCCAGTTAACAGAAATCACTTTGAGCAACTACCAAAGATAATGTCATTTGAAAATGTTCGATTCAATACAGTGTCGACGCTTTTATGAGACGACAATTCAATCGCTTAACACACGCACACATAACCACACAGCCAAAACCGTATATGAATTACTTGCAAGCGAAGAGAAGAAGAGACGAAAAAAGATGATGTGATGTGAAAGAGGCCGAAAAAAGGAGCAATCTAATATTGAGATACCAACTTAAGAAGATTGAGGTGCTTTAGATGACATCTTTTTAATTTCGTTATAGCTTTTGTCAAAATGGCTATGATATGGGCTATTTGACTGCACTTCGTTGTCAACGTCTTCGACGTCAATATTGGAACTAGGTAAATTGAATAACAAAACGTTGTTTGCCTGTTCAAACTTCAATCAAAATAAGTTAAAAAAAAAAACACACACACACACACACATCCAAGTATCTGTCGTTCAGGTTGTGCCGCCACATTTTCATCAAGTATTTCATTGACATTCTTCACGTGGTGATCGGATCGCAGAGAGAAAGGGGGTGGGTAAATGAGAGAGAAACACAGTTGAAGTAAAAAATCAATAGAGATGAAAATGTTGAGAGTGATCAATTGAAGAACCATAGCAAAAATAAGCAGAGAATCAAACTAACCAATCTCATAAAACTTTGTCTTTCTGCATCTCTCTCTCTCTCTCTCTCACACACACACACACACATACACTTATTCACGCTCACTTTCTTCCTTTTTTTCATTTCGTTGAAGCTATAAAAAGTTGTATTCAAGGATGCAACGACCTGATCCCGTCTCCCGATATTGAATAGAAACGTACGAAGGCATCTTGCCTTTTAGTCTTTGAACAAATAAAGCAGACAATAGGTTTACCATTTAAAGTCATGGTAAAATGTAAAGCAACCTTCCATATACCATCATTCATTTGGATTCGCTCTTTGACTAAGCTTCTTTTTTATTATTCGATTACCGTTTGTTTTTATGTGTGAGTTTGCTTGTCTTGCTTTTTTGATACGTATTTTGTATATTGCATTATTATAAATTTGCCATTGTTTTTTTTTCTCGGTCGCTACATTTAATTTCAGTGCGTTGAAAATGAAATTATATACATTTCAAATTTGTAGTCCTTGCTGTTCTTACCCTCTCTCATCCGTTTTTCACGTTCGTTCAGTGTCGTTCATGGTTTGTAAGCTAGTTGTAATGTAACTCATTCTTACGTGGCCATCGTGACAATACAAATGCAATTTTTTTTAGCACGTTTATTGTATTTCTTTCATTTTGTATTGCGGCATTCACTTCTAGATTGCTTTAATAACCATGTAAAAATGATACAAATTCCAAATGGACAACAAACAGAATTTCTTCCTTTCAGACACAAATTCAACGAATGAAAAAAAATTACGTCACCATTTTATTTTTTAGTACATAATGCTTTATTTTTCATTCCAAACTCGTAACTTTTTTTGTACTTTCGCCCATAAAAATAAAAATGGGAAACGAAAGAAATATAAAAAAAACAAGTTCAGCAACAAGATAACTGAGAGAGATACTAATTCGGAATTAAATTTCCGTAAACAAATTCTCATGATAATGTTGAGAGTTTTACGAAGTGATACACCGCATACTGACTTCATTCTCTCTTGCAGAATGCCCACGGACAATTTTAAACTTGTTAAATTCAATTCAAAATTCACACTAAATGAAAAATGACCCCGAAATGGAAACAATTTTTTATGGGCAACGTATCGTATCGAGAGATGTCAACGGAATGAACGTTTCAACTTTTTTGTTCTCTGCTCTTCTGGAGAAAAATCAAAGTTAATGTAATGTATTTATGAAAACAAAACTTAAAACGATAATACCAATTGTATATTGAGTGGGTCGCACTCCATGCCGTAAAGTCTTTTTTGCATATAAAAATTCTTTTAAGTTTTGATTGTGTTCAACGAAACAAGAGCAATTTATGTTGGCTATCTGAATATAGGCTGATATTTTCAAACGCTTGTTCTCAGCAACTGATCGTGTTATATCAGAGACACAGGATCGAAGAAAGTCCACTCAAAAGAGAATGAAAAAACACATTCATACTACAGTCTGATGACCTTTGTACTGACCACCAGCGTCTGAGAATATCAGCAGATATTCAGATAGCTGATATACTGCTCGGAACGAGACAATGAATGGAAAAGTAAAGAGAAAACAATTCAAAAACTAACTCAGCAGGAAGTATATTTCATTTCGTTTAAAATCCGTTCTTAGCATTGAAAACAAGAAAAATGTTTATAGCATGTGGGAGGGTTTCAGTTGAAAGATTTTAAATCTATGTTTTCTCTTATATTTACTGATAGAGTGCAAAGTGTTTTTGCTATCATCAGCAGCTATCGCGACCATATTTTGATTTCAGCGTTACTTTCAACCTATTGAATTTTCGTGTAATTAGTAGTTTACTTAAGCGGGTAGGAATATCAAAACGTATTTTGTACTGAAATGTCACTTTTGCAAAAAGATTTTTACATCCTACCGCCATCTACTTTCGTATCGATTACTATTCTAATATCAAAACGAAATGAATCCACAAATATGTTTCTAGTGGTTAATTTAATGAATATTATGATTGCCAATCTTTTAAAAAAATGTTTTATTCATAAAAAAATATTAATCGGCAATAAAAAACGTGAATGCATCGTTTTAAAAAGTCGAAATATCAAAAGCATTCACTCAATAAAGTTGTGTATTGTGAGAGCCAACTTCAGACAGATTGTATATATGTGACAACTATTTTTTGACATTTGTAAAACCGGCAATTAGGTGTTTGTGTTTCAACTATAAACATTAAACATGCGAAAAGTAATTTCGCTTTTTTTTATTAATCATCATTTTACTGTGACTTTTTTCTTAATTTTTACATTTTTATATTTTTGATTCATTATTGGTTGTTCTTTGTGCTTTACTTTCATTTTTTCCCTGAAATTTAGAAGTGTAGAATGTGCGAAAAATCGTTCATTCGTTTACAAACTTTGCGGGAACACGTCGAAAATGTTCACCAGCCAATGAAGAAAAAATTCAAATGCCCGAATTGCGACAAATTTTGCTCGAGACCGCACAATTTAAAGGCACATTTTCTTCAAATGTAAGTATTTTGAAAAAATTGTTGATTGATCTATTCACACGTTCACAGATAATAGATCATGGTTCGGCAACAGCTGATTCAGCAACAGCTGATTCGGCAAAAGCTGATTCGGCAACTTCTGATTATGTGCGAGCAAAATATGTCGCAATTCGGGCATTTGAATTTTTTCTTCATTGGCTGGTGAACATTTTCGACGTGTTCCCGCAAAGTTTGTAAACGAATGAACGATTTTTCGCACATTCCACACTTCTAAATTTCAGGGAAAAAATGAAAGTAAAGCACAAAAAACAACCAATAATGAATCAAAAAAATAAAAATGTAAAAATTAAGAAAAAAAGTCACAGTAAAATGATGATTAATAAAAAAAAGCAAAATTACTTTTCGCATGTTTAATGTTTATAGTTGAAACACAAACACCTAATTGCCGGTTTTACAAATTTCAAAAAAATAGTTGTCACATATATACAATCTGTCTGAAGTTGGCTCTCACAATACACAACTTATAGGTTGGTGGCGCTAGGAGTAAGTTTTTTTGAGTGCTTGCTTTTGATATTCCTACCCGATTTAAGATATGTTCGGTTGAGTTAGTTTATCAAAAAAAAAACAAGACAAAGCATCAGAATACAATGAAGGCAAACTACAAAGTCACAAAAACTAGAACACGAACTTTGTAAACGTTGACAATGACATGATGGAATCTATTATCCAAGCTACTATCATTTTCATTTGCACATTCACTTTACGCTATGTTCAGTTTCACGATTTCTTCGAACGAATCCCGACGCTCTGTATGAATTTTGAATATCCAAACATTTAATGAGCAATAACAAAAACAAATTGCCAAAAAATCAGGGCAAAATTAGAATGTGATTAAATTTCGTTTTGTAGTAGACGAAACAAAGGAGTGAAATCATCATTTCGGCATAATCATAGAATATAGTAGGAATGGTAGGGTATCGTTTTCATGTTTGAATCAATCAAATATACTCATGATTCAAATGCATTCAGAAGCGTCATTTGAAATTATTTCGGTATCAATGTGATTTTCCTTTGTACCAATCGGCGTTAATATGTCACGTATTTAAAGTTTTCAGTTTTGACTACAACACTATTTTCCACGAATTATTCAATCCGAAACGTGTTAATGTAACTTAATTCAATAAAAAGGTAGAATGCACGTGAAAGCAGAATGCCATCTCTTGCATATCATCCGATTGCAATGTCAATTTCACACTTGAAATATTTATTAACGCGTTCCATATATGCTGGATTATGGTGCGGATATAATTCATGCATATAAACTACATCTATTTAGTATTTACTTGCATGTGTGATATGCGATTGTGACAGATATAAAGAAGAATATATTTCATTGTTTTACGATTTACATGTCTACACATAGGTGAAGTTGAAAAGTCGCTTCGTATTTTATCATTGACACTGACAACGTGCGATTGCAATTTATCCATTTTGTAAATACACTGCACACGGGCACAACAACCGACAGCAAAGAAATTTAGAGCTCATTGTTCATTACAATGTTGATTGCATGTGACACGGAATATGCGAGAAAGGCACATATTATTTATTCGTACATCAATTAAATCCGATTACCTTACAGATGTTATTCATGTTCGTCATTTATTTCAAATGTGAATAAAAATGACGATTCACATTTGGTCTTGTTTGTAATTATTTCAAGCGTTCTAATTCGATTTGAAAAGAACGAACAAGAACATACCTTTTTGAATTTGTCGAATGAAAATTGACAATTTTCATGAAAATGCATTGGTACCACGAAGTAAATTAGAAATTGACTGGACCAGTGATTTCAAGTGAATTGCTATCATGGGGCGGAAATGAATGAGACGAAATTTTCTCTCTCATGGGCGCAGCCATATTGAAAATTTTATATGCGCTTATATGTAAAATTGGTGGCGCCACTGGTATATTTTATGGAAAAAGAAGAACACGTTTGAGTCTCACTCGTTTATATGTAAATTACATAGGCATTTCCAGGCCATGATTGCTATCAATTTGCATAGTATTTTGGTTGTCTTGAAAAGAAGGTCAATCCCACTCAACTTCATTCTTCTTACGGACGATAGCTTAACAGACTGTCTTTGATTTAATTTATTCATAGCACTAAGACTATTATGTTCATTTCCTTCGACGAAATTATATTCCTTATAGTCCTTTGAACGGACTCTTTTCTCATTGTCACATATATAATATATTCTCGTTCGTTCAACGAATATCGTTGCTGTGGTGCTCAAAATACGTTCGACCTATGATCAAAGTTAAAGAAAACATTTTTAATCCATAGATTACAAATTCAAAACATATAAAGATGACTTTCAAATGGAAATCTTATTGAAGTTGGTTTATGTTGACTGCATTTCCATTTCAATCTTCATTCTAATTTATAACTTCTGAACGGATTTATGTTCCATTTCAAAGTCCAATTCCACACAAAAACTATTGTCATAAATTCTATCTGAAATGGAGCAGAATTGGTTTCTTCTCATGTCTCTATTCACTTGCATGCAATCGATTTAACTTTTGCAAGGTTTGAATGCTTATCTTTTTTTGAATTGTCTTATGGAGAAATTTAATTGTTTATTACACATCAAGCATTCACAAGGAGATACATCAATACAAAACATCGAATGATTCTCGCTTGTGGTATCGGTGTACGTTCGGATCTTCGGCAGCGCACCAAGTGCTCCGAACGCACAACGACATGATGCAAGCATTGATGTACTGTATTGATGTACGCATCTGTGAATGCTGGTTACACATACACATAAGTACACAAATATAATTTTTAAATAGCTCAGTTTTTATTTCTTAGTTATCTCATTCGTTTTTATCAGAAAATAAAGAAGTGAAAAGTTAATTGACATCATACCAAACGAACGAAAAATAGAATGAAAAAAAAAAATTGCGGTAAGAAAAATATTCCGTATGAAATTCCATCTGAATGCGTTGCTATAGTCGATATGATGGAATAGAGAAATAATCGAAATTCGAAACGAAATCCAAACGAGAAATCTTGCATATACATAATTTACTTACCGAGCGCTTTGTGAATTTCCATTTCCGTGGCTGTAATCTGAATTGCTTTCAATTTATCACGTAACAGTGTCGATTCATTTGATGTTGTACAATCCGAAATGGATGTAATAGCTGTATTTATTATTGTTCGTAGTCGATCAACATCGCCCATCCATTTTTTATTCAAATCTTTCTCTCTGTGCGCACCAAACACACCACGAACATCCACGATACGATTAATCATTCAATTTTTTTTATTTGAATACGAAAGAAAAAACACGGGGGTAAAGAATGCCGCGAAGCAATACAAGTTGATTATCGTCATCGTATGGATAACCATGTGAAGAAAAAAGAAAATAAAAACAAATGTGAAAAATGTATATCAAATGTTTGTATAAATAATTCGACTGTATGAATAATTCGTAATATGAAACAGTTGGACTGATTAAAACAAATTAGGAATTAAATGAGTTGAACGAAGGGAATTGGTTTCGGAAGATGTAAATTATGTGAGCTTGAACGATAGGGTTTTTGTGGTGGGTGACACACTGAAGACGACGACGATCATAGAAGTTTTGCCATACAACAAATCAACGTGTCCTCTCTCCGTATGCTTGCACGAGTTTCTGGAATGTTCCAACTTCCGGCAATACTTGACAAAACCAACATCGACCGCCCGTCCATTCGCTAAAATACACAAGATCCAATCGCAGCACAAACTAATTATGCGTGAAAATTGTGACTTCAGGGTCTCCGCACTTTATTATAGAAGAAGTTTTGCCATAAAATATATGAACTCTCATAACAATCATAATTATAAAATACGCACAAAGTAGCAATGTTATATTATTGATGCCACCGTTGCCATCGCCATCACTATTATCGTTATTCAAGACCGTATGAAATTGCCACATATTCGCCCATGCAATCTACGACAAATGATTGCATGAATAGTGAAAAGTGGAATTTGTAGTTGAGCACATGTTGATAACTTCTTACCATCTGCAAGCTTCTCAATGGGCTCTCAAACTTTCTGCCACTATATCACGAGCATTTCACTTCAACTTTGAATAATGACTTCTTTATACGTTTGCAAATACGCATACAAAATGAGCGTGACGAAGAATTTGAATAAGGAAAAAAAGAACCAAAACGTAGAATACAAAATAGCACAGTATAGTGATTCTTTTGGTTGTATCCGACGAACATTTATAAGTGTTCGGGATTCAAAATTCACAATTGCACTACTCTTGGCGTTGTCTTCGTCTTTGCAATTGGTTCGGTTTGGCCGTATAAAAACATCGAAAGTGCTAGAAGATAAATGCGAATAATTATACGTGCTATATTTACACTTTGGTTGGCAGTGTGTCGATTTGAGCCTGTCTACAGACAAATCTGAGGCATTTATCATTTTCACATTTCAATATCCCTCTCTCTCTTTCTCTTTCTCGCTCTGTTTTTTGCTACAGCACACTCTGCCCCTTACTACGATCTCATTTTCAATGTGGTAAATACCCAAAAGGCAAAATCTCGCCCATCGAAACGAAATGAAATAAAATAAAACAAAAACAATCACGCGCACGCTAAACGACAAACCGGTCATCATTCTTCCATTTCAACAGACAGCGTCCAAATAACAGTGTATTATACTAACGCACAACCCAAACAAATATCTTTGTTTTCTACATTGTGGCCAGCATTTATACAGTCACTTGCTCATTCGCTGAATATCGTTTTTGCCGAACTATTTATTTTGAAAATTAATCAGACAAAATTTATAATTAGAATATAATCTTAACACCACAAAGCTTAATATTTATATCCATTAAAGTGGGCACATCGGTTTGATGTATTGTGCCAACCGAAAATTTAACGGTTTTGGTAGAATCACATTAGCCTTTGCACTCAACTGGAAATTTAATGAAACTAAGTTTAATGTTGTATGGATCTATTTGTGTGAGAGAATTAAACAGCGGTCTCTCTTTAAGAGTGATAGAGAGAGAGAGAGAGAGAGAGAGAGAGAGAGAGAGAGAAACGGAGAGCAAATGTGCCTTTGCATACAAGCAAAGGTTCTATAAAATAAAGTATCTATTTGTGGGCTCTAATGTCATATTGGTTGGGTTTCAATGCCATCCCGTGTAAAAAAACAATGACCAAGTCACAATTTTGAAATTTATTATTATATATACAGTCGATTATTTTGGGACTGTTGACTATCGGGTGACTATGATTATTGTCAACTATAGTTGGCTGCTACAGTTAAACATAGCTTACTTTAATTGATTAAAGCCAACAGACGTTTAACTAAATTTAACTTAAGTTGTTTGCTTTTACAGTCAATTGTCAGCCAATTTGTTCCTTAAACAGTCAGTCACTTTTTTTGCACATGGGATGTTGCCAGTTGCTGCTTTCATAATGAAAAGAAAAGTTTCGAAAGTTCGACGGGGTCGACAGTAGCTCGTTTAACGCTTGCATGAAATTCAACATGAAAAATTAGCTATCAAACATTTTTTTATATTCAACGTCGCAAAATGCTGAAACTGAATCGCATTTGGTGTTTAGTGCATTCAAAGTATGTCGTTTTGGAATTTTAGAATGCCATATTTGAATGCCAATGACTTTTGGCAATGACGTCGACAAATTTTTGCATCGATAGACGTCGCAAAGTGGCGTCAGCGACCTAAAAAAATCGTATTATTCACCGATAGACTATAGTACGTTTGCGTCATTTTGTCATAGTTTAAATGGTTAAATTTTAGATTTGCTGCTTTTTCTACCTCTCGTCTTCATTTATCATCGTGTGCATAACACCGCAATTTTTGCCACTCCAATTCATCCATTTTCACACAATTTTGGTCACTTTTTCTCCATTCTCTTTAGCATTTTGCTTGTTCATTCAGATTTAACTAGCCCAAAACTTGATGTCAAGTTACCGTGTTGAAAGCGACAGAGAAACAGCAAACAAGAATATAAAAAAAGTTACCATTGTACGTAGAACGAACACGGATCTTCAAAAAAATTAGCTTTCATTGTGTCTGATTATCCGGGTTTTCTTCTTTCTCTTGGTTTGTTTTGATTTACTTATCCTAAACAAACAGTGAGTGAGAGAAGAAAATTCGGGAAAATAATCAAAAGGTTATATTCATTGTACGAATTTTGCATTTCCTAATGGCAATCTCTTATGTTAACATCATGAAAATAATGAAGAAAAAAATCAGCTGCACCAATCGAAACACTGTCTTTTCATCGTCATGGTTTTTCTTTAATTTTCATTCTCTTTTTCTTATATACAGGGGGGCGCATATAATAGGTGGCGAATTTTGAAAAACTCTTTGGGGGTATGTTGGGGGTAAAAAATAAAAAATTTCTATCGGAGCAGAATTTTTCAAAAGTTCATCGGATCAAAAAATAATGTACTACAAAGTTGTTCAGAATGACGAGAGACATTTTTTTATTTTTTACCCCCAACATACCCCCCAAAGAGTTTTTCAAAATTCCCACCCCCTAAGAGTGGCCCTATTATATGCGCCACCCTGTATATGCGACGCGATGACACAAATGACACTTGAGAAGAGAGAGGAAGAAGAAAAAAATATAAGAATCTCCTGATATAATTGCTGTTTGCATTTTTCATTCGCAACGAAATGTCAATGGAAGCCAATGCGAGTCATTAAAAATTTATGTTCAAGCTCACGTTGTTTTGCGGCGACAGTAGCGGCAGCAGCACCATCAACCACTGTTGCTATAAGAACTGTCTGAATCTAGGATAAAAGAAGATTTTATGGTGATGGCTGTAGCTTACCTATAATCTTTTCGTAGTGTGTATGTATGTGTTTCTGCATTGTATTGATACCATTCGTTCATTAGGTTGGCGTCATTTGCGTGCCGTTGGATCGCTTCGAATACATCTTCATCGATTTGGATTGGTAGATGCAGTTTTCCCAAGCTATTACCAATTAATGTCTGTACATGCCATGACCATATGGACGCAAACACAAATATATCGCAAAGACACCCAATCAATTACCGATGATCGAATTGAATTAGCCAAGAAAAAAAAGAAAGAAAAAAGTGCACACCGAATCGAGTCCAATCAAATTTGTGGAAATACCAATAAATTTTAGCAATCCTAATTGCGTTTTTTACACCGTTAACCGTGTTTAATAGAAACATAGCCAGACTTGGGCCAATGTTAATGTAAACAATGTTACGGAAACGAATGTGATATCGGCCTTCGACGTTGAAAAAATAGAGAAACAAACATAGCAAACCAATCAAAAACTTGGAAGTATAAAAAGTCATTTAGTTTTATCGCAACCAATTATAGTTATTAGAAGTTGTACGCAAATTATTAGCACGCCTCCATCACAAATTACGGTTTCATTAACTGTCAACTGCATGGTCACCGTGACAACAGGATTTCTCAAATAAAACTCAATGAAACACCGGAAAACCTTCATTATCAATAAAATAATTTTGATAATGAATGTTTGAAACGATGAGACACTGTTTATTTGGAGCAATATATGAAAGGACCGAATGAGCACCAAACCAGCTTTTTGAGGCTTTCCTCCTCACACATATTGCTCTGAGAAAGAGTCGACACAATTAAGTGCATTGAAGACATGTTAAAAACAATACAATTTTTAAACGATGAAAAAATATCACAGCATTTTAATTTAAAAAAAATACTGGCGAAAATACCTGGTTATTGCATGCTTTTTTGCAGATTTCAGAGAACTTTTGGAAGTTGTGCATCGATGAAAATACGCAAAGAAAAAGATCAAATATCGAATTCTTTACAATTTAAAAAAAAAAAATTATTTGATTACTTTTCTTTCCGTAAAAAAAAAACGATTTGTAAGGAAAATGTGGTTCGTTTTTATAAGCACACTTTTAGTTATTAACAGACAGCTGGTAAACTGCAAATACACCACGCTAAGAAATTACTTGAAAATGTTTCACAGCACATGTATTTGGTTGGAGGTAGTTGGCATTTTCAAGTTTGTTTGTTTTATAATGTTTTTTTTCTTCTTTTTCTTTGTTTTACGTCGATGTGGCTCCACACATTCGAAAAGAATCTAATACATTGTAAACTTGTGCAATGTTACGAGCAATGTAGTTTGCATTTTTGAAGCGATAAGTTGCACAATGGTTGAACTTAAACAATGAAAAATGCGCAGCACCTTATTAAATACTTACAAGAAAAAATACGCTTTTCGAGACCCGAGAGCAAACGTCAATTTCGCTTAGATGCTCGTCGAGAATGTACGGGTCGGAATCAGTGAGAGCACTCGAATGTCCTGGCCCAGTACCAAAATGCATGTCGACGAACTCAATCTAAACAAATGGAAGAGAACAAAAAGAGAAAAATATTTTGAACAAATTTCCAACCAAACAAAGAAAAAAGAAAAAAAAGTTTTCAACATCAAAATATTTACATCGTTATTTATAGTTGTAAGGTTACACACAAACACACACACACACACAAAACATTTAATACTTTCGAAAAATATTAAACTTGTGCCTTTTATTACAAAATTTTAAGTGGTTCGACAAAAGGGAGAAAATCACATTTTTCATATCGAAAATGGGAAAAGTTCTTTTTTCATGAAACTAACAAAAAAAAAAACTCGAAAGAAATTCAGTTGGATCGTAATCAAAAGCAGACATCACTTCGCTTTTTGCCATTCAAGCCAAATACGGGTTATAGTGCCACTTTTTTGGGGAAAAAAATTATCAAACACGTTAGATGGCGTTAGTTTAAATGTAAATTTCTATGTACATACGGTGGCGCCGCCCTACACCAAAAATTACTGAACTATAGAGTAAGGTACTATTCAAGTGATTGATTCAAGCGACAGAACTTTAAGCAAAAATGGACAAAAGACTATACAAAAAAGTGAACTAATCCCTTGAAAGTTTGAAAATTGTCCATCGTTGACAATAAACTTTTTCTGTAATTCCGAATCTTCTGTACAACTATTGAATTTAAAACATTAGTCGCTTCATTAAAAAAAAATGTAATTGTTGTATTTCAGATGAAGACACAAATCAATGACGTGAAATAATAACTTAAATTTAACCGACAAAATGCAATCATTACGTTTTTTTTTTATTTGATCTAGTTCGTAGAAAAACCATCGCACATTGTTGATAAAAAAAAAGTGTCCGAGAACGGTCCCTTTTTATTTATAATTATTAGCACTACATTCATGCCGATCCAGCGCTGGCTGCCGTTTCGGTACGAATGTAGTGCATATAAGTAATAGGCAATAAAGGACAATCAGTTGATCAGAATAGTAGCGTGAAAACAGACGTGTTTTTATCCAAAATGTTTTCAATTAAAATGTCCTTCAAACATTAGCATTCATTGTTCCGTGTTTGGAGTGTATTGTTGAAATAAAAGAAAGAATGTCTTATAAATATCGATCCCATTTTGCACATTAAAAAGTTTGCACGAGTAATCCTCGAGACATCGACGCGAGAAATGAGCACACAAACACACACAGTCTCCGGTGTGTTTACAAATACTTGAGCACATTTTCGCAAATAACAAAGAAGCAATATTCGTGCTAAAATCACATAAAACCGCAAAAATTAAAATGAATGTGACCGAAAAAGAATGGGAAAAATAATGGCATAAAGCATCAATTTATTAATCTCTATTTGTATTTGTGTGTCGTGTTTCGATTCGGTTTGAGGTTTGTTTGGTTGTTCACTTTGTAGCCGTTTCATAGAAACGTCCATTCTGTTAGTCGTATTTATTTACATTTTATTTCATGCGTGCAATGTGTGGTTACATTTTTATTTCCCTTCTTTTTCTTCAGCTACATTGAAAATCATTTGAAAAATATTTATTTATACATTGAATGAGACAAAGAAAAAGGATAACGAACAAATGTTTGAGCAACGGCCTGTTTACGTTTCATAAGTGTCTGCCGTCTGATGAAGGATACCAAAGAAATAGCAGAAATAAAAGAGAATTTTCCGGCATTTTTATCGTCTGTCACATGAATTTGATGCCCTGAATTCAAAATAATACCAGAAAGAAAAATGAAAAAGAGAATGTATAATATTCGGAAGGGCAAAAGAAGCAAAACCTAAGGCCACAAATATTACGGAAACTTTTCGGTATGTATGGATGGCAACAACAAAAAGTGGGTAGAAAAAAACATAATGAGTAATAAATATGTAGAATATGACTAAGAGAATAGAAATAACGTAGGAAAAGCCTATAAACCACTTCACAATAATTCCGGAATAAATGCTATATATTAGATAAAATACATTAAATCGTCACAGGGAAAAAAGAGCACGTAACATGTAAAAACGACACGCTTTAAAAATGGCAAATTATGTATTCCGTTTCACTTTCTATCAACGCTCATAAGTATTTTGTTGAATTAGGGAATACCGTCAGATGGATTTATACATAACTTCGGACGTTTTGACGATTATTAGCGTTAAGCGGATAAATCCATTTGACGGTACACCCGGAGTTGAATATATATATATTTTTTCTCGAGCTCTTGTACCTCAACACGCCTATCAACAAAAACCAAACGGCAATCATCCACTTTCACACACACTAAGCGCACATACGATAAAAGATGATATAAAAGTTATAAAAAAAAATCCGTTACCTCAATTTGACGATCATCGTAAATTGATTGCAATTCAGGTCCAATTACTTCCAATAGGATGCGTCTCTCGACTTTGAATTCTATATTTAAAAGCAATGATAAAAGAAGTAATATACACAGTGGCTTTAGCATATAGGTAACCTGCCGGTTTGAAATACTTTGAAAAACGAAGAGTGATACAGACTTGTACACATTGATAATGACAATAAATATGGGACATAGAATGACATCGATGACAGCACATTCACAATATTGTTGGCGTAGGTGTGTGTGTATGTTAGTCAAAAGCAATTCACTTGTTAACATTTTACTTTGGTGTGATGGCAAAAGAGTACAACTCTCGCATATTTGTGGATGGTATAACGTGAGGAACGGTTATAAGAAAAGGAAGCGGAACTGTGTGTTATACAATGCCATGGGCTCATCGATGAGCGATCGCTTATATCAAATTGGCGGATGCGTGCCTCGTATCCGACATCCTAATATGTGAATATTTTAAAGAAAGATGAGCTTGTGCTGTGCTATGGAATGTAATGAATTTTAAACCAGTCAAAATCATTCCGTCAACATTGTATGCATGTGAAACACCGAGAAAATGTATACTAAACTAGAATATTCGCAAATTTCTGCAACCAAATCGATACACATCGATTCATTTAACGAGAGAGAGATGATCATGAAAAAAGGGAAAAATCTACAAAAACACACACACACAAACGCTAAGTGAGTTCGGTGAGTTTGTGTATCAGTTGGAAAAACTCTGTATGAAGAAATTGTGCCGATAGCAACGCTAAAACCGTTCAACATGCAAAATTTATTGATTTAATAGAGTCGTCGCAGTGTCTCCGTCATTCGTAAAAACAAGAAAAACCTTGAAAACAATAATAATAACAATACCAAAAATTGAAAATCATCATCAGGATTGCCGCCACCTGCTATCCATTTATCGCATCGAACACAATTGTATTTTAGCCAACGCCATAACGAAAGATTGAACGAAAAATATTAATAAATAAAAACACATAATCGTCTTACCGTTTTTTGTGCTTGCTACGTATATTTTGATGATTAGAGGTGCCGGTAACTTTATGTTTGCGCTTAAATGTCCCCGCAAGGCATTGTAAACATTTTCTTCGTTCGAAACAGCCATGGTCGCTTATCAACTGACACAAATCGACAGCAAGCGAATTTACTTGCTTGCAGCAAGTGAATACCTTGTCTTGTGTCGTGTTTTACAACAGAATGGAGAGAAAAAAAAACTGTTTTAAATTCCCCAATATGATTAAATAGATTCCGTGACTGAAATCTGGATCTGAAACTCTTTTGTGAGTTTTTTTCGCTTCGCTATTGATTATTCTTCGTTCCTTTTATATTTCATGTAGTTTCCCTCGCGATTCTTTCGCCTGTTTCTTCCACTCGTATGAATGTTCGTTTTATTTTCTTGGTTCGTTTATTTTGAAAAAAAAAGCAGCTGTTATTATTTCCGCCAGCTCTTCAAATACCTCACAATCACATTGATGGATGAATCGAAAATGGTAGCATTGCTGCTTACCATTCAAATGGAATATTCGTGTTTACGTTTGATTTTTGCATTCAATCGATCAGTGATGCATATGCTCCACGGGAACAGCCTGAAATATGAGAAAAAAACAACAACATAAATTCTCAGTATCATATAATGGGCATTAAAAACAGTATAAATCCAAACAAACAATATGCTGCTGCTAAGTATTTATATGCATGACAAATATTGAGGGTAATATCTATTGAAAATATCGAGAGGAGAGTATGTTTTTATTCAGACATTACTCAGCCATAAGCACTGAATAACATACTCTCTTCTCGATATTTTCAATAGATACACAGCAATGAAACGACAACAACAATAACACATATTTTTACTGTCAAAATTTTGATGTCAAATGGTGTCTACATTGGTGACGGTATTTTGAAACAGACTGTGTAATCCATATTCATCGTATATGATCCTATGTAAAGTTCTATACTTGATCTAGTTCACATTGACGGTTCAATTCGTTTATGTCCACTAGCGAGGACATGGACTGTGTGTTTCTTCTGTTACATGTACGTTGTAATGGACAAGTATAGTAACATGACGTCGTTCAAATAAATTTAAAAATCCGTCCACTCGTGTCGACACCATCTAGCACGGTAGTAGGGATTTCATTGCTGTGAATAGATATGTGAAATAATCGTTCATATTTCTTCAGGCCCATAGATGATGACGTAAAATTTTTTAGGAGGGGGGGGGGG